GCTATATTTTATAAAAAAAAACGCAAGATGTAGATTAAAATATTATGTTAGTTAACAATTGCATACATATTTTCTTTATAAAATTAGTTCGGTTTGTCTCAATAATCCATTACCTATTAGTATTATTGGTATTATAGGCGTTCGTTATGGTGTAGAAATCAACACTAATAGTGTAATTCATTAACTGACTAGAGCCAGAGAAGTGTAAGTAATTCCTAATTATTATTCTAAAATGTACACAATTTATAATTATTTAATAATTGACATTTGAATGGATACTTAAGTAAATTCTGGATTATATTTAACTTAATCCCCACCCTCCAACCTACGCATATGAGTCAATTATATAGATTAAAACAATGTATGGATTTGTTGATTTATGTAACTTTGATAATTAATATTTGATAATACAGTTATTCTTTTGTTTTAAAAAATGGAATATCAATGTTACAGCTATTGTATATATATTATACTATTTTCACAAAAGTGTTAATATCATTGTTAGTAAACTGTACAGTGAATAATCAGTTTACAGAATTCAGAAAATATAATCATCACATTATTGTCAATGCCATATTTACAAAAAAGTTGTTTTCATTATTTAAATTTATTTTAGTTTGGATATTTTTGGAATCAGTTATATTTTCGTTTTAACATTTTGGATTTAGACATTTTTCAGCTATTTATATGTTCTTCATCTCGGATACGGTAATATTCATGTATAAAATATTTATTTGTAGTTTATAGACACAATATTTGAATATGATATTGTGCTATTCGTTGTGTAAACTTTGAATTTATTAAAAAACACTGAAGAATGATTTAAATTTAAATATAAATGAAATTATTTTGAAAAAAAATATACATCATTTATCTTTTGGAGTTAACATTAGGTAAGACACCACATCGTTTACAAAATATGTTTTTTATCCGCAAATATGATTGATATAAAACGAATAGAAGAACAACAATATTATCATCAATATGAAAATGTAAAAATCGTGCCGTATAAATTGACGAATGCAATAATATTCTCACAAGATCAAGGCTGTCGATGATGATAACTTATTATGTCGTAAAAATTGGGTAATTCTTGGTGTCCGAAATAATTATTCGTGCATTTTTTTTTCATGCTACGTTGTTAAGCTCATCAGATAAACCATAAACGAATAAAATAATGCGCATGACTCCGAGAGTGAACGTGAACGAAAATCGTGATTTCATTATAAAGCTAATAGACAGGCATGTGTGAAGCGCATGGCCATAGGACCTAGGTTTGACGGTGTAAATTAAATACAACTGGAAAAATATTATTACGCACTCTTGGAAACACGCACCGCTGGATACAGCTAAGTACAGAATTTCCTACAGCTGTTATGTATTGGGCACAAGTAACGCATTACAGTATTCAGTAGGTATTAATTACTATTTAAGCATGTTGTTTAGCACAAATAAGCCTGGTGAATTTTTAGTTTGTCGATGAAGCTTGAATTTAGTGAATATATTATTATATGATTTTGAAACATAAACACTAACCTAATCACACCGCAGCGCACAACAATAATTGTTCCATCATTAATTATTAATGATGGAAATCCCAACAACCGGATTTAAAAAAAAAAACGCTATTCAACAGTCATATGAATTTTAAATGTTATTACGATATAAAACCTGTGTACCTAAGTAAAATGTTTTGAAAAACGCTTAACTTGACTATAAATTGCTTTGGTGTTGAGCTTTATTTTTACATTTTCATCAAAAATATTTTACTTAGTAGCTTTACATGGTAAAAATATTTAATACTTATTCGATTTTTAAGTAGCTTTTTTTTTTTTTGTGAATCACCGGGTTTTCGGATTCCCATCTCTAATGACAATAGACAGTTTTGAATTTGAAATGATCACTCTTGAATACGTCACCGCGGTATTTTAGGGGTCACGTTGGTGTTTGAGAATTTTATGTGAACGTTAGTAATTATTATTTATCACAATCTGCGATGACATAGTTTTTAATGAAATTTGTAATCGATAAGTAGAGGCCAACTAATATAGTCGGTAAGGTCGATTCTAAAAAGGGAGATTTGTGATAGAATATGAAAATCAATTTAACCTCTACCTACGTAACCATAATACCTTATACCAGATACGGTTATTTTAAAATAAGTTTTGTCCTTGAAAAGTTGATATTCAATATACAGCAGTCTTAAACGAACTCCAAAACACGATAAAATGTTAGTATTAATCAATAAACATTATTTACTTTTATAATAATACTATTATTTTATATTTTATTAAAAGTACCTAGATTTAAATGCAAAAGTAGACTATGAACTTAAAGCACAAAATTTCTTATACGTTTAAACTACCGATATAATATTATATTATGTAACGCCTGTATTTTGATATTTTTTCGACTTCTATATTAAATCATTTAACGGTGTAAATTATTTATAGGTACCTATAATATGAATTCTACTCGATATATTTGTGATCCGAATCTGTTTCATTAGTGACGTATACCCTAGTGTTATACTCGTGTAATAAAAATCGTCCATTAAGCTACAATATTATCACAAAACACTCTTGACCCATAAATTTAGTAACCTAAATTATTTGTACCTAATAAAACAGTGAGACTACTCGGTATGCAAATCCACAAACGCCTATATGATTTCACGGATATCATAACATAGCAAGGCTGAAAACAGGATTTTGCCTCATGATTCACGTTGAGTTGGTTATTCCTGTTGCTATTCGGTTTACACGATAATACTGTTTGAGTTTCCTAGTACATTATTATTCATATTAGGCTATTGTGCAATGAGAATATGCTTAAATTAAGACATTTGAAAAAAGCAATATATTAACATGACTTTGGAAAGGGTAATTATCGTGCGTGTTTTGAGGAATTTCGACCGTTAGTAACTTGACATAATAATATTATTAAATTTGGCTCTGACCTATCCTAATTTAAGTAATTTTTAAACAATACCTTTGAACCGCAAGACTGTAAAAGCGATGAGTGTTTTTTTACAAATCAATCGGGTTATTTAATTAGGTCACACAATTTATATGAATAGATTATGATACGGGTGATGGCCAAAATTATTAAATTTACTATATTATGTTAAATTGACAAATGTTTTAAGTTGTCAATGAGTAAATTTGTTTTTAGTGATTGTATACTTATTTACAGCAATACTGTTGCCCCAAATATTGACAGTCAGATCCAAATCAACATTTTCTGAATATGTCTTACCTCCTCAGAAAAAACATATACTTCTAACTAGTTCTATGTCTATATCTATTGTATGTTTGTGTTATTTATTTTTTTACAATCACAATTTTTTAGAATACAAGCCTAAAAATGTCGAGACAAGTTAGGTCTGCAATGGTGAAAGAAAACATTCGTTAAAAATAGGAAATAGTAAAAATAGGTTTGTTAAAAAAGTTATTTAAACAATGTAATTAAGCGTAACAATATATGTATATATATTTATTATATAATTCCGTAATAAAGGATACACATATTATGTAATTATTAAAAAAACAAAAAATATATGGTGTATATCTAATTAAAACCAAACGGAGCCGTGTTTTCATATTTGTAAGTACTTAAAAATCATATCGCATACATACAAAACAAACATTAAAAAAATTGTGTAATTATTGCCCTTTACAAAATAAACATAAAAACATTGTGTAATTATTGCCCTTTTAAGCAAAAATATTTGTTATGGCACAACCAATACACACACAAAGATAAATGTAAGATATGTTAATGGTTGTGCAACTTAACTTTTGATTTATTTATGATTTTTATATTAACGTCTTAAAATAATACTACTAAAAGAAAATCACAGAAGAAGAATTAAATACATACTATGAATTTTGAATGCCCCATCCTATTAAGCACCTGTGTATAGTTTACAATCAAAATTATATCACAAAATAAAATTTGATTTTATGTTTGTAATAAGCTGTAAATAGTTTATCATAAATCTTAATGTAGAAGTTGAACTAAATTTATAATGTCTATACCTAAAACAAAACTAAAGGTAAACGAAGTACTAGTTTTATTTTTATTATGGATAATCTCAACAAAGCTAATTGAATAATAAAACATAATAAGAACTTAAACTGGTTAATATATATATACTAAAAATGATGTAACACGATATCTATAAAATAGCATATATAATTTTGTTGAGTACCAACTGTTACGTTGTATAACACTGTATATATTTATATTATATACAGGGTGATCAACTTATCGTGAACCACTCAATATTTCACTGAGTTTAATAAGAAATTACATTTTTTCTTTGTTATTGTGCAATGTGATCTCAATTTTTCATCATTTTTTTTTGTTTTTACCCCTCTCCCAACTTGGTGTTTTTGATAGCAACTTTTGAAACTTAAAAGGTAACGCATACATTTTATTAACTTTTTAAATTGAGATGATGTACTAAACATTTTGACTGGTCGGTAACCAGTTTTGGACAACTATTTATGAAATTATTGAAATTTCAAGTTCAGGGCAGGAGCAAAGGTGGAGTGTAGTATTATTTTTATGTGCGTGAATTTCCGAATCGCACTTCCCCTCTCACCCTAACTTTTAAACTCTTATAACTTTAAAAATAATTATCCAAAACTAGTTTTGACCAGTCAATATTTTTAGTACATTATTCTCAACTAAAAAAGTTAATGAAATGTATGCGTTACCATTTAAGTTTAAAAATTTGCTATAAAAAAAACTAAGTTGGGAGGGGCCTAAAAACAATTGTGAGAAATTGAGATCGCATTGTATAAAAACATTATGGAAAAAAAATTAAATTATTAATTAAACCCAGTAAGATATTGAGTGGTTCACGATAAGATCACCCTGTATATACTAAGCCAATTTCACTTAAAATGTGTAAGCAAGTTAAATTGTTTTGTGTATTTTTAAATAATAATCAGTATTGGCGTATTAAACCTATAAAAATAAAAACTTTATAGATATATTTTTTTTTTTTTTTAAAAAACGTATTTAATTTTGCTACAGTTCATTGTTTAGTACTGGCTCGATAGATGAGTCTCCTCGATTGAAGATTGACAGAGTTGAACTAAACAATAAATGTACAAGATTTAGCAAACACAAGCCGACGGCGATGATGGCATCAGACCATTTAAACACGGTCCACAGAAGTAGACTAAACATCAAAATTTTGGCTATGATATCCACGTAATACATTCTGTAAAAAAATATTAGTATATAAATAATTAAAACAAATATGTTGACACTTTAATAGCTAAAAACACATATTGTAATGCAAGAATTTATATTAAGAATAAAGATACGTTAAAAATCACAAGGTTTTCCTACTTGTTTTCTCTAGGTAATTAGTAGGTATTAGTTAAGTAAAAAAATATTAACTTCACTTAATGTTCAGTAGGGTCTTAACTATGAAATGTTTGGTTGTTACATTTCAATTAAATTTGGTAGGTGCAACTACAATGGATCTTAGATATTCTAAATATGTAGTTTGTGTTTTATTGCTATTGAATAAAAAAATTAACCATGGGTCCACTATCATTTAAAATAATATGATTTTTCCTTGTGTTCACTTTGACTTGCAAAATGAATGATGTCGACGTATTGTGAGACACCTTGTTTAGAATAATTTAAAAGATTTAAGAAACATAGTTTCCTTACATTTTCATGTGAGTTCTTGCCCTGGGTAGTGTTTCCGGCATTTCTTTTAGTATATAAATACGAGCTGCCATAATGCAGTCTCTAAAGTAATTTCTTATATTCATGTCGGCGCCGTCGATTTTGTATTCGAATTTTTCTCGGGCGTTCATGATTTTCCTCATGTAATGAACGTGTTCATTTCTAAATTCCCATTGGTTGTTAGCGTAGTACTCGAACACTTCAAACCCTTTGTTGATTCTATCTTGAATACGGACCAAGCTAAAAAAATTAAAGACAACATTAACACTTAATTTCACACACAACGCGTCCGAAAAGCCAAATTGGGCATCTTGTGTGATATGTGAATAACTCTTTGGAGCACCGAATTTTTAAAATAGGTATTTCATTAAAAAAATTTCGCCATTTATAATATGTTTAATTACTAGTTAAGACAACAATTGTATCTTATTTAGATATTTCGGCAAAACTTTGAGACAACGAAATAATAACTTTTTCCATCTGTACTCTAAATAATTATCCACGGATGGGCCGAGAGAGTAGTATTGAAGATAAAAGCGATTCGTCAGAGGTCGTTACCATGGTTTGTTGCCGGACAAATATATAATGGCATCCAGGAAATAGGCCGGTATAGTGTGCAAGAAGAACACGCAAAGGTAATGATGGATTTTGTTGCTTTTCATGCTGCCGCCCGGATACCAGACTGCGCCGTTCAACGGCACTTCGTTGGTGACTATGTCTTTGCCGATGTCAATGATTTCTTGCCACGTCACTCTCCATTCTTGGCTGGATGTCAAATGGCAAATGCTTCTATCAGTGTCGCTGCAATACAAATAAAACGCATAGTTTAACAAAAATTAAATGGTAACAAACGATATGCATCATTAGACTCGTGGTCAGTGAATTTTGGGATTTCGCCGAAGCTTACTTATTCTCCACGTAATTCCAAGTGAGCAGAAGGAGACCGTTGACGGTTATATCCACTGGCAAGTAGTCGGCATAACCTTGATTGAAGCAATACATGGTGCGAATGACACCTTTGCCGGCACCGATGAGCAAACCTGTGGGCCCGTTGATGTTGTCGGTCCAGCCCGGCAGAGGCTCTTTCCAGATAGGAATGACTGTGAACATGCAAGCTGGACGTTAATGTCTGGCTAGACTAATGCGGTTTTAGAGTTGTGTAATACTGACCAATTGACGGACGAGCGATCAGACACGGCAAACCGGCTCTAATTTGTTCGACCACTAAATGCTCGGAAAGGCATTTGGTAAACGCATACGTGTTGGGGCAGCTGCCGAGGATTCTGTGGGCAATAATTATTTTTGTTAGTACATCAAAATATGATAACCAAGCACACCGATTAGGTAACTTACTGTTTGGAAATAACTTCGACAAACGCCTCATCCAGCAACTCCATACTTTGTATGATCTTGTGCGGGTCGGCCGGAGGTGGGTATGCCTTTTCATACAGTACTTTTTCATCCAAATGGCAATAAGACGTAGAAACGTGCACAAAACACTGGAAATAAGAAAACATTTAGATAAAAAAAACCGTCGCAATACGTTAGTTACCAATATTGTACCTTTAAGTTTTTCATTTCCTTGGCCAATTCCAACGCCAATTTAGTACCTCTAGTGTTGAGCAGGACGGCTTTCCTGAGAGATTCGTCGAACCGTATGGTAGCGGCCGCATGAAATACAATATTGACCTCTTCCGCCAGTATTTTGCGGTCTTCATCACTTATGCCTAAATTCGGTTCACTCACGTCTCCGGAAATCGGAAACACTTTTTTTATAAAATCAGTACCTCTTAGTTCTTTCAGATGATCGAACAACTGTAAACACATATTTTACATAAGTATTGTTGTTTGAAATGATGGTTACTAATATCCTGCAGTTTAAATGTTAAAATAAGACATTGGTATAATATTTTAAGTTTACAAGTTCATTTTGTAAGAATTAGCTAATACGATAAATATTAGGGTTTTAAAAATTGTTTATTTCACAGCGTATTTAAATTACAAGAAAAATTCTAACTATAATAACAATGACAGTACTTTTTGTGAAACGTTTAATCATACATATTTTGATTTATGATACTAAAAGTCTAAATCTGTTTTTCGCGCATACAACATACACTGATTTATGTATTTATTTTTTAAATAAAATGTTAAAAAAATAATAACTTACAAATTAATTTCATTTTACACGTGTAATTGAATATTTAATACTAATTGGTGTAACGGCAATACATGTGTTTTATTTTCAAAAGTTTCTGATTTGATAAACGGCTCAATATTGATTATACCAGAATTTGAAATGATCGCGTTTTACGGTGTTACTTATAGATTACATACGTCATTGATTGTGTCGCCAAGGAACTCTGGATTTACAGTGCCAAAATTGTTTTATTTAAGTTTCTTTTAAGGCGCTTACTACATATAGTTCAAATACACAATGTTTGGACTTATATCTTATGACGATTTTCTATAATTGAATTATATTATCCAAAATGTCCTTAAAATATATTTCATAATATTATAGTAAGTTAAAATGAATGAGTATAGTGTTTAAACTCCATGGGCTCATAAATATTCGCCATATAATGTGGTAACATCTTTAACGGTTGTGACTCGAATGATTTTAAATACATATCCACACGAGATAATTAATTTACTAGTCATATTAACAAAATATAATACCAAAAATGAATACAAGAATGACAGTTATAATATCTATTCAAGGGCAGACAATTAGTTGATTAAAAGTTTACTTTATTTTATTGTACATGTGAGCAAAGCCCGACACAGTAAAATATAATTATTATACTCTGCAAATTACAAGTTACATGTTATTTTTCTTTGTAACTATCGTATGTACCCAAATATAATTTAATATCTGTCAAATTATCTCATTGTGATGGATATTCAAAAGTCACCTTTCTTGTACGATTTTAATGAATATCATTACAACCATGATTAACTGGGCTTCTTTACCTACCATTTAAATTAAGTTAAGGACTTATTTTAAGCACTTAAGTTTAAACTTAAATCATGTACAATGTGATTATTATCAAATCCCTTTTTCATTTAAGTTGAAAACGATATTTACGTGTGTTATTAACATTTAATAATTTAAGTAATATAACAGTTTAAAGAAAAATTAAGACTTTTTTTTATAGATACTCATCACTTTTTACTAATCTAGTCAGAAAAAGATTTTCTATATTTGTTTGTACTTAAATTAAAACTTATAAAGTGGTAAACTAAAATACTACTTCTAAAAAAAATGTATAGATGCTCAAACTAGGGGAACCCTTAAATTTCTCTTTAATTTATTATCAATTTGACTTAGCTAATAGTTAAGATCGTAATTTTAGTTTTATTCAACTATACTTCAGTTTTAGGCACAACTGGTGATATAGAGACCATACATATTTTATTGTGTCATTAGCTAAAAATATTAAATAAACGTTTTAAAAGTTTATACATTATTTATTGCCTAATTAATTTTTAATACGAAATGCAACAAAATTCGGTGAATAAAATAAGATTGTATCATGGTAATGAGCTATTCGAATGAATGAAATAGGTCACACGGCATAAAAAGCTATGAACTGTCATAGGTTTGATGAGATTGTAATAAGAATAGTTAATTATTATTATCAAAAAATTTCTATACTCAATCTTGTCTCTTTCACAACACTTAACAAGAATCAAGATGTAACAAAATCGATTTCATAATAAACATTTAATACCCTAGGTGCGGTAAAAATGTCAAACTATTTAATCATGAGCCATAAAAAAGTGAAACTGTCAAAATTATTCAATTTATGTAATTCTAAATTACCACGTAGCATGTATTAACTAATAACACGGATACTATTATAAAAATTAACGGTGAAATTTAAATACGTTAATGAGAAGACATTTTTTTAAAACAAGGTACATAGTTTCGTAACATTTAAATTAAAGATTTCAAAAACAAAAGCTATCTTTAGAAATCCATGGTAATATATTGTTACTAAGTATAAGCCCTTAAGGCACTAGAATTAGAAATGGCGTGTTTTGAAATAACATCAATTGTATTTTATTGGCCACAAATATCTTTGCAGTGTCTATTATGATCAATGACAGAAAATGTGGTTTACTTATTGTATCTATAACAATATAGCACACAAGAGAAAGTATAATCAACGAACATTAATTACTAAATACCAGAAATATTTAAGGTTCAAGGCTCTACAGACTACATTATTTTCATTTGTATTATCAGTTTTTCATTTAAATATAGTTGAGTGTTACAATATTACCCGTGCTGTTCAAAACAATCAAATTATACAGTTCGGATAATGATATAATATAATTACGATATTGTTCGGATATTATAATAGCCGATATTAAAAGAAAACAAATTATTGTTTTTACGTTTAAGATGTACTATTACAATTCCAACACGTTAGTTTATCCAAACAATAAAAAAAAGTTACAGTCTATTTTAAGACTAACGGCTAAAATTATAAAACATGGAAAATGCTTTAGCCTGCTAGCTCCTGAATAGTGATTATTTCTGATCTATAATCTCCTTGCGGTTTATGCCGATAGTATAGTCTTAATTATATGTTCTGGATAACAATAAATCTTAACCTAATCCTATACAGTCACATGTACATTTTAAGGACATTAGTATTAGCATTTTTATTATAAATACAAGATTTTTTTTCCCTAATGGTTAGGTATTTAAAATTTTACAATGAATAACAAAAGGAAAATAATTGGAAAACTGAAAGGTTTAAATCTTGAATTATAATTTTAAACACATTCTATTTATAAATTATATACTAATAACGGCTATAACCTATTACCTAGTCATTAACTATAGTATGTGCTGTCATTAAAAACTTATTATTGAATATATATAAATTTTAATCTCATTAAATAACTAATTTTTAATATACTAAAAAATACATTTTAGCATAAACATTTGTTTTAAAATGTAATATATAAAACATAGTACTTTTAAAGTAATATATATATATATGTGTATAATAGTGTAAGTTGAAAGAATGAAGGTAAGTGATGTAGTAAGTTATTAGATCACGTCATAAGATGTATAGGCAGAAGCCAAAAGTAGACTGAAAAAGAAGTTAGTGGATGTGATAAATAAAGATGTGGAGGTGTGTGGAGAAAATAAGAAAATGACAATGTGTGAGGAAAGAAGATTAGGCTGACCGACCTTAGCTGTTGTACACAGGAAAAAGTACATAGTTGATCCAATTAAAATTATGGCTAAGATAGGGACACAATCAATTTGTAGTGAAATAACTAAACAAATAATTGGCCCAGTTAAACATTTAGCTGGCCAAACTAAATAGTTGCTTTAACTAAAAATTTAGTTGATTCAACTATTTATTTAGTTATTCCAACTACACATGTATTGTGTGCTTTTTTTTTTTAATACAGAACCAATGAGGGGGAACTGTTTTTCACATGACTTCCTTTCATGTATTGTGTGCCTACATTAACCATAATTTTAGTTGGTCCAACTATACAATTTTTTCTGTGTATGAAATAAGAAAAAGAATTATCATTTTGAATTAAAATTAAAATTGTTTTTGTTTTTATACAACAATTTACAAACAATATTTGAGTAATAGTATAAAAACAACAACAATTATTATAAACTATAATTTATTAACTCATAAATAAATAATATTCCATTACTAAGCAACTACATATCATGCTGACTCCTTTCAACCTTTTGAATATGCAATGTAATGATACTAAAGTCGTTACCAATAAGTAGATCTTGAACTTGAACTTTTATAGTTTCTACTATATGTTAACGGTTTATTTTTTTTTTTTTAGTACATAAAAAGAAATTCGATTTAAATGCAATTTTCAATTCTTATTTTCAAAATAAATAAACAGTTCACAATTTTTACCAGACATTTGTATTGTAATTAATTACCGTATATTCGTATATGATGTTTATTCATTAAAAAAAAAGTGTGTTTTTTAATTAAATCTATTTTTATTGTTGTTAATTTTATATATTTTATTTAGCCGAATATTACTCACCACGGACGAAAACAAAGCCTCTACACGCTGCTTCGGGTCCTTCCCCTTCTTGGGCCGCAACAGCAAGTATATCCTTTTGATGTCCGGAGACTTTCGCAGGAGCTTCTCGATCAAGACTTTACCCAGGAATCCCGACCCACCGGTGATGAAAAGAGTCCTGTTGTTGTAGGTCTTGCACACGCGGTCCGGTAGATTGCTCAGGGACTCCGGAAGCACCGGTGGCTTGTAGTTTAAAAAGTTTTCTTCAAACGTCGGCATGTCTATATGAATTAGGGCAAACAAAACGGAAACTATTAGTAAAAAGTGGAACAGGCAGACGAGGCGACGCGGATTTTCGGTAGCGAATGGCTTATGCGCCGTACTGGTTTTGTGTTTTATTTGCTTGCACTGTACGGCGAGAGAGAGAAAGGGAGGCATTAATATACATAGTATATACACAATTAGTACATATTATTGATGTTATACTAGTGGAGGGGCATTTACATCACTCTTCTTTGCTCATTATCAAGGTTTGTCGTCTTCAAGGTTTTGTACAACACAGAACGTAATGTGTTAATCGACTTGTATTTTGTTTTATCAAAATAATAATATGCGTCTCTTTTCGTTAAGTATCATCGCGTAAGATTTGGGTGTACTCGGCAGTAAATTACCCCATAAGTACGACTAAGTATGGAAACGTCGACAGGAAACAGTGACCGTGGACGAGCAAGTTCACTTGGAATAATAATATGATATGCATCGCTTACTCGATGTCGCGATAAAGAAGAACCTCATAAATGGTTTATAATAATATTAAAATATTATGTTCTTATTCCATTTTGCCCAAGGGTGTTAGGTAATGAGATAGTGTTTGTCCGGCAGAACTCAAGAATTAACTAACGGCCCGTAACACAGTCTTAGAAAAATAAATATCTATTTTTTACTCAGCTCTCGTGACACGATAGCTTCTATTTAGGTACGATCAATTCAATATAGTTCATCAATCATCGATCGAATGAACTATTGAGAAAAGCGGAGAAGCATACCCCAACTAACTTGTTCGCGGTAACTAATTAAATAGGCACTGCGGTCTATTAAGTTTATGCTTAAATCATTAGGGTTTTAATTATGAAAACAAAACGAAGCGGTACAGTAGTACGATTCAAATTTAAAACGTTATACAGTTATTTCATCGTTAATAATTATCGCTAATGGTAGTAGCTCTACCCTAAAGTATCACACTAGTGTAAATGAGCCTTAATTATTTCCAACGGTGCAGGTTATACTTGCTGAAGTCATTACTTAAGCACAAGCGTTCCTTTGATAAATTAATTTAGGTTCGACATGATAATGATTTTTAATACCAATAGAGTTTGCACTAACGTAATACCAATTTTGGCAATGACTGGGCGAATATATTATTGTATTCACGGCTACTCACAATATTTTTGCTTTCATATAGCTTACTAGACGTTTTGCACGAAAATCAGCAATTACAAGCACTGTCATTCTATATTATTGACCAGAATGTAACAATATTATGTCGAAATCACTGAAATCTATGTAGAAGCCTACCTGATGATGTGACGTGGGAGTACCGCCTTTACTATAGACTTCTTCTTTGCGTTACCTAGTGTCATGTAATTGAAACGGCTAGTTACATCCTCCCTCTCTTCAAAATCTATATCCATCACCATTTATTTATAACGTACATCTACTTTTTTTCGGTCTACATTTGACACTTAATCCATCTGCATTAATCTCTCTACTAATTTTACGTACCTCATTTTATACCTATAATAATGTTTAATTCAATTAGTAATATTATAACAGATTATAAAAACTCATGTATAGTGATTATTTTGAAAATGTAGTTTTGACGTAGCTAACTGATGGCGAATGATGATAGTGTTAAATTGGGCCTATACTTTTTAAATGTTAAAAATTTGAAAAGATAGAGTGGATTATATTACCTATGTGATTACGTGATCAAACGCTCGTTTTTCGTTGATCTCTCCGACATATTTTAATATGTGAATCGTTATGTAATGACCTTGGCCTCCAAAACTTTCTACTTTTTATTGAAAGACGATTTACAAGACATTCAAATATTATTGTTTACCGATTATTTTTTCGGCGCTTATAAATTTTATATTATATGAAATTAAATTATTTAATTATTGCCTCTGAAAACAATTCATAGATTTACCAAAATCTACCTATATTAGCTTCGATGCTTATCTGAGTCCTCCTGAGAAGGTAGTGTTTTTATAATGACGTGTTGAAAAGTGGTGACATTTTTTTCTTAAGAATTTACACCTCATATTATTTTTGTACATAGTTTATAAAACAGTACAGTGTATAAATAAACGTGATTTGTTTTTAACACAAACCAACGACCGTGTAACATGAAATCGCTTAACGAAAGTGCCCGAAAAGTGTCGAGACATTAGTTAAGTAAACTTAATGACACAAAAAATATACGTACTGTCAGAAGTAACTTGAATTCTAAGAACGACTAGATAGATTGGCTACATAAATAATATTGTATTCCGGAGTTAGTAAGTGGGCGGAATAGGGAGGAACAGGGCTGAAATTACCATTCCATCATCAATCTGAGATCAACTGCGTTTGGCATCGTTAAACAGACTAGAAATCTAAATAAGAAGCTAGTGGGTGAACCAGATTGGATAACAGCGTATAAACGAGTCATGGCCAGCAAGGTTAGGTTAGCAAAGTAAACTCGCAGGTTTGTAAATTATAATGATTGGCTTCCTCTAAATTTTAAGGCAACACTTTCACTAAACGATAAATGAAAAGAAACTAAGGACTTGTGTTTTTTTTTTTTTTATAAAAGTTTGTTATTTTAGCAACGTCAATTAATACACAACATGGCTACAACGCTCAATTTTGTTTCCTGGCTGGACATAGGAATATCAACTATTTGAAAAAATAATTTCAAATTAACATAATCGTCAGTTAAATACAGAACTTCTATAAGAGTTGACTATAGGTGAACCATTCTCTCAAAAACTACATATTCTCATTTGCTTTAAAAAAGGCTTACAAAATATTTTGAAAGTACTCTCAAAAAGTGCCCAAACTGTGTAATGTGGGGCCAAATTTGTTTAAGACTAAAACAATGATTCTATTTAAACGTGACGTTTTTTTTCCATTCATCCCTTTTAGACCGCTACTGTTAAGTGCCCATTTACATACACTATTGTATTGTTTGTTTTAAAAGGATGCGCACGTTTATTATGTGTATTAAACGTGAATTGCATAACGACGAATCGATCAATTTTACGGTGCATTAAAACCGAATACGATTTATCGCGGGTCATTCGGCTGATGTATAAATAAATAAAAAAACTACTCAAACATGCGTTAACTATTGATGACGGTTGACGCTACTCGGGCAGTAGGACACTCTGTGTTGTTTAACATAATAATTAAAATCATTCGACGGAGAGCTAATAATTAATAAATATACAAAATATACAAATATAGTTAATATAGTACAAATATTACAATAATATACATAAAAAAAAAATGAAATATTTAAATATTAATTTTTTTTATAGATGTTATGTATTGTACTATAGATGATGCGTAAGTATGTGGATATGTACCATTCGCCGGTGTTTAGAGAAAGTCGGTTGCCGCGGCGGCTGCTGTGACTGTGAAGGAGAATACCGACCAGACGTGTTATTTAATACAAAATATATACCGTAGGATAAGACCAACACGGTGTTGTTTCATCATAAATCATAATATACGATTATGTTGTGTACTCAACGTGTGCGTTTCTGCTCGAGCTATATAATCGTAATAATATTATACTACAATATTGTTAATTATACGTTTGTTTAGTAATATATAAAAATATATCATAGAGCATTTGGCATAAAAAAAAACAAAATACACTTACGATTTGTGTATTATAAAAAATAATATACAGCGTTTTTGTGCATCCAAAGCTTTACGATATTATATTTTTGGATGACGTTTATATACTTGGTTAAAGTAGTATAAGTATAGAATTATTTAAAAAAATTAATTAATAAATTTTCAATTACAATAGTTAGAGGTTTTTTAGTCTACCGTGTATTTGTTTAAGAACGTTAATAAAGCAGTTACTTCTCAACTTTGGATCGATAATATAAAGAAGACATCAATTTCAGCATCGGGACTTATCGTGGGAACGAAACGATTGATTTAAACATGTAAATACTACCAACGTAAAACTGGTAATAATGGTTGTATTAGTTATGCTACTTTCCATTTATTGAGCCACGCGCTATAGACAGCAAGTCTGGTTTTAAATTATTTTTATTATTTTTTTTATGTATCTTTGGTCATTGCTATAATTATACATAGAATATACCTACGTTGTGAATTATATAATTATAATTATTATATTATTGTAAAAACCTATTTGTAGTCTATGTTTTAAAAAATACACTTTTTATTGAGCAAAAACGAGCTATACCACTATATTATATAATTTTTGATAAAAAGTTGACATAAATGTTAATGTTAAGATGACTTAATTTATTAACAACGTTTTTATAATCTCAATGGAATATTATTGTGGTAAGTACTATGTATTCGAATGCTCAAACCTGGTAAACGGTCGTATATTTCACTCGTTGTAACCTAGTTCATAATTCATAGTTTAACCTTAATTAATTCTACTATCTGATCTAATAAAATACTTTAATTGTATACTAAGGAAAAGTTATTCTTTTATTTTAATTAAAATAATAGGAACAATAATTTTCAAGAAATAGGGACTGTGAAATTATTCTGTGAATAATTTGCGTGTGAATAAATAAAAATGCTCAAATGCTTAAATTTTAATTCAAACGGCAAAATGACATTTCCTTAGTATGAATCTTAAGTCTGTTGGATAAATGCGATTAGTTTAATCGTGTATACTAACTGTCATTTAGAAGTCCGGGAAAATCACGTTTAAAGATTTAAATCTTTATTTTTAATGAATAAAAATTGGAATTCAATAAAAAATTAAAACATTTCCCCTTTAAACAAAAGCAATTAGTTTTTTTTAACAAATAAGATTTTCACTGTGAAGAAAAGAAAAACGTTTGTAATAATCGAAAAACAAAGAAGGAAATCAAAAAAAAAATAATACAAATATGAATATTTTTCTACACCTAATACTTTATTGGAAACAACTAAGTAGTTAGTATATTGGTAGTATATCAAATGTACCAAAAAAGTTGCTTAATCACGACGAAAATGAAACGTTATCTTATCT